CCACCGGGAGCAATTTACGGAAGTCATCGGTATCTTTCCCCCGTTTCCCAGAAAGGAGTCAGAAGGAGTAAGGTCTCAGTTTGCCTGGATGAGAGAGAGGACAGAGGAGGGAGAGGAAGGAGGGGGAGAGAGAGAGAGAGAGAGAGAGAGAGAGAGAGAGAGAGAGAGAGAGAGAGAGAGAGAGAGAGAGAGAGAGAGAGAGGGGGAGAGAGAGAGAGAGAGAGAGAGAGAGAGAGAGAGAGAGAGAGAGAGAGAGAGACTGTTCCTAGAACAAACGGTCCGTGCAGTGACCTGCCTCGGATAAAAGAGAGAAAACTCTGGAGGAAGACCGGATGGTGTGGACATAAATCCAAATACTGAAATCCACGAAAGTGACAACCTCCAACAGTGGGGTTTTTCTCGGGCTTTCTAGACACCTAGACATTTTTTAGTCTTATTTTATATATACAGAAAAAAAGAAATCCTCCCTGTCCCTCACCCTCTTCAAGGAAAGTTCTGGGTCCTCCACAAACAAAGCTGCTGCCCCAATTTCGGGAATCAACGGAGCATTTTATTTTGTCAACGGAGCCTTTTATTTTCCACGATTTGCCTCTCATGCACCCACCCACCCGCAGGCTTTTTTCCTTTGCTGCCTCCCCTAGTCCCACTCCACTTTGGACAGAATTGCTTAGGATCCATAACCAATACCCAACAAATCCCAGCACCCACCCACCTCCACATTATTGTGGGCTCCAAATGAAGACCAAACGCGAGTGCTAATTGAATTAGTCTATTGAAAAAGACTGTCAGGTACAATGACGTGGCTCGAGGCCCCACATTTCCCAAGGTCTATAGGCTTTGGGGACCTGCGATGTATAGTCTGACCTTCTAGCTCATAATAACGCGGCACTTGTAGCAGAAATCTCCTCGCATTCACTCCCAACAAAACCGCTGGTCATCCAGTCCCCGTAGGAAGGCTGCACGCTATTGTGTTGCGACATCTCATTCATGTCCCGCACCACGAGGCCCCACCGCCATCTGATCTACACTCGAAATGCGATTACCACCCTATGCATGCAACACGCTCCTACTCCCAGCCCATGGCGCACAGCCCTCCCTAGGCTGAAAGAATTTCTTTCATACTTTTCCTCCTGGCCCTCATCCTCCAAAAAGAGATGGAAACATGCAGGACCCTGGCATTTGTCTCTGCCTACATAAAATCCAAGATTCTACGGACACAGAGGCTGGTCCTCTTTTCTGAACAGCTTATACGAAAACCTCCAGCAAATACATTTCTCCATACCCGACTAGTGGGACTGAGTTTGGTGTACACACTAATGTGCACATACAGGGACCTCCTGCCACACACTATACACACACACACACTACTTTTATAGACTCATTTTCTCTCTGGGTGGCTCTCATATGCCAAGCAAATAAACACAAATACAAAAACTCTGGTCCCCACAGCCACGGGACACTCTTCAAAACCGCTGAGCGTTTTCTCCAAACTTAGAAAAGGAGAGAAAGAAGGATAAAATTGTGCAGCTTTCACTCTAATAAACATATGTCAGTCTTCTGAATACATTATCCCCAAACTCCCCTAGCTACCAGCTCCCCAAACATGTATTCATCATTCTCCTCTGTTGGGCCAGGTGCCTTTTGCTCAGTGGAAGCTCCTGATTAGCCTCAGAGAATGCAGGAAGTCTAGGGATGGGAGAAGGGAAGGAGTGCTGGGGTGTCTCTCCGTCCTATTTACCCAACACCCCCATCACTGAAGGCCTCTTTGGGACCTCCTTCCTTCAAGTGAAAAAAGTAACCCTTCCCCACCAACTTTGGCATTTGAGTCAAAACAAAATCTTTATCTTCCTTGTCTCTACTTTTATCTGGGCTATCCCCAAGTAAAGGGTACTTGGGGACGATCAACTTATTGCAGAGACATAGCCCAGTCTGTGGCCTTCTGTGGGCTTCTAGCCCAGGTGACTGCATAGCTCAGAACTACAAGACCATAGAAATCTACACTGCATACCCCCACACTTGCATACCCTTGGCCCAGGAGCAGATGGCATTTGGAGAACGGGGCTCCATTCCATTTGGGTCAGGCTTCCCCACCTGCTACCTGCAGGTCCACCTGCCTGCCACCCTGGCCTGAGCATCTATCAAGTTGAAAGTAATTCCTTAACTCCCAAAGGCAGAAGCGAGTACCCCCAAAAGGACTGCCATACAAATATACTCACTCATGCACATACAACCTTTCACACACACCCTACCCCTTTATCCACATACTTGTACACACGACTCACCCAGCCCGTAGTTCCTCACTCCCACGCCCAGCCCTGGGCTCACTCAGAGTCCTCTGAACCCCTCACCCATCCGTCTCCGCCAACATTTGTTCACTCAGCCTCACACAATTCACTCGCAGGCTTGCCAAGACGCCAGTCCACTCACACAGAGTTCCCAATAGCATGTTCATTTGCAGGAGGGAGAGGAGGGCGTAGGGTCTGGGTGGAGGTCATGGAGCGCCTGGCGGTGCGGGGTACCTAGCGTCCGGGCCAGGCCGGGCCTGGGGGAGGTGGGGGGGGGGAAGAGCCAGCGCGAGGAGTGCTGCCTAATCCAGCTCAAGCTCGTGGGCCGCGGGTGCATTTATCATCCCATTACTGTAACAAATCCGGGCTCCACTACATGAAAGGTAAAATGAATTACCGACGTTAAGCCGTCAATAAAGTCATTTCTGTAAATGGTGTCTCCAAAGGGCCGCCGCATTATTCAGCTGGCTTTATCAGCTGGCTGGAAATTACGTGGAGGAGCCGGGCCGCGCGGCGCGCGGGGCCGCTCACTTTGATTAAGCGTCTTGCCAGCGCGATGTGACAGAGCTTTTGACCAGGGTTTTATTCACAGGCCTGTGATGAACGCCAAGCTGATCAGGCGGAATGAAGAGTAATTAAAACCTATAAATTATCTTCCGCAGCCCTTCTCGAGGCGTCTCCTGCAGGCGAGATAAGGCGTCGAGACCCTATTTACGGCGCTGAAAGGGACGGCGGCGCACAAAAGCTACGCGACTAAATAGGATATTGATAGTGTCCTAATTAGAATTTAATTAAGTACCTACTCTTGCTTGCGGGATAAAGATTTCAATTTTGCGAACTTAAATATAAATACAATCCCACCCCCATTTCGGGGAGAAGGGGTGGGGGCGCCTGGAGATTTTGGGGAGCCCTGGGTTGCGCGACGGAAGAGGAATCGGGAGACTCCAAGGTGGGGTTGGATGCGGCTTGGGAAGACTGAGAAGACTGCCGCGCAGCATTAGGGAGAGAGGTTCTCTCCCCTAGGATGCAGCGCAAGTCTAGCCGGGAACTCAGCCCTCAAAATCGGGGGACCCTCGCCTGCTCCCAAGATGCGGCGAGCAATACGAATTCCTGCTCTCTACCAGCCCTTTGGAGAAACTTCAGCTACCGCAGTGGTGGTTCGGCTTGTTGTGGGTTTAGTAGCCAGTTCCTCCTGCCTAACCCCCTGTGACTTTTCTGGAAAACTGGAGGCAGGGGGATTATTCCGGATGTCACAAATAGACAATATTTCCTGAGAGATCCTTTCTCCACTGTTCCATTTGGGGAGGGCGTTCAGGGCGGAGGAGGTCCGCTGGAGCTCTAAGATGACACCGGCGAAGGCCTCGTTTGCCAACGCCTTTCTCCGCCACCGCAGGCTTCAGCATAGTCGGATACTGGTCCTCCAAAACGACTCCGGAGACAAGTCCCGCAGATGCCTCGAGCCTCCATCCACACCCCACCCCGTCCCTCACATTCTCAGTTATGAGAAAACTTTGGGGGTGCCTCTACCAGGAAATCGCGAAAAAGAGCCCAGAATGGAAGCGGCTGGCGGCGCCGCAGTCCCCCCAAACTAGAGGAGAACGAACGGGGCTGGAGCCGGAGGCACCAGGGTAGTTGGGAGAATTCCCAGGAAATTCAGTTACCCCGCAACTGAGGGGAAACTCCTTGTTCACAACGTCAGCTTGGCAAACACTTGGGGTGCAGCGCTTTTATTTATTAGATATTACTTTGCAGGAAAATGTAACACGGAGGTTACCCTCAACTCTAAAGCTAGGGCCTAGCGTGCATCCGCGTTCTGACCTGCCGGCCCCGGGCCCTCCTGAGACAACTCTGCGTTGCGGTGACAGCTCGGACTCCCACTGCTAGGGAAGGTCCAGTCAGCTGGCTCTGGAGCTATTCCGAGTCCTCCGGGCTTTGGCTCATTGGCGCCAGGGCAGCTCCAGGGTGTTGTGGAAAGTCCGGACCCGGAAGGGCATGGGTGCGGATTCCCCACAATGGGAAAGCAATGAAGCCGGCCGGCAGGAGTAGTACAAACTAAAACGTGCGATGCTAGCTAGGCACAGTGGGCCTTCCAGGTTTGCTATTTGTGAAAAATAAATTGCTCCTCGGAAAGTAATCAACTCTAGATCTATTTCACATCCCCGACCTCCTCGTCTCACTCCTCTCCCTCCACTACACACACCCAAACCCACACTCACCCACTAACACACAAACCAGCAGTGACAACAACCACTCATCCTTCATAACAGCAACCAGAGAGAGGAGAAAATAAAAAGCTGAGTTTCTTAGGCGTGGGGGTGCAAAACAGCCAGGCTCCTGTCTGCTGCCCATGCTCTCGGCGCGCACAGACCCATAATCCTGCATTTCTCCAACAAGTTGTTTATGGAGTTGCTTCTCCATTTGCCTACATCCCAAATCCACCCCTCCCGGGTTTCTTCTGCCCCCTCCTCGGTCCCGGCCTGAAGGAGGGGGAGGGGCGCGGGTGCGGGAGCGGGTGGGGGAGGGCGGACCAACGCACGGGCCCGGCGCCGCGGCGCCCCCTCTCCGCCCGCGGCTGACGCCCCCGGATTATTTATCCGCAAAGTCCCGCGCGCGCCCATTGGGCCGAGGCCCGAGTGTCAGCGCGAGTCCCGGCTCGCCATTGGCCCCGCACACGTGCGGCCCTGACTCACGTGCTTCCGGTTTGAACGCAAAAAGTGTGCCTGGGTGATTTTTTTTTTAAGCGAGAGAGTTTGTGCAAAGATCCGAGCTGTCAGAGATTTGAAAAAAAAAAAAAAAAACCAGCCCGGCGCTGGCGGAGACGCGCTCTCCCTGCAAAAAAAGCAAAGGCGATTAAAGGCGCTGCCAGCCTCACGCTCTGGGCACAGCTGAGCGTGACACTCGGGGAAGTCAAACCCCTCACTACTGCCTAGGAAGATGGCTAGTCTTTAAAGACTATTTTTTTTTCCCCTTTAAGAAAAAAATTATTGGAGCTGTTTTCTTTTTTCTTGGTTTCTTTTTCCTTTCCTTTTCTTTTTTTTTTTTCTTTTTTCTTTACTTTTTTTTTTTTTTTCTTTTGGCCGTGGCTTACTCCCCATTTAAATCAAATCATTGAATCTGGTTGCAGAAAGAAAAAAAGAAATAGCCAAGTGTCTCCATATCTGGATGTCTACAAATTAGGGAGAGACAGCGAGATCTATCTGCTAGATAAGAGCGAGCGATCCAGGCCAGACGCCTGAGCTTTTTTCCTACACCCGCCCCGAGCCTTCGCTAGGGCTTCGCCTGCCTCCTTCCTCCGGGCACCCCCACGGGCCGCTGGCAAAGTGGGGTGGGGAGCGAGGCGGTGGGGGCGGGGGCCGGCGCGGCGGCCGGGGCGGCGGGGCGGCCGAGCATGGAAGAACAGCAGACGGAACCTAAAAGTCAGCGCGACTCGGGCCTCGGCGCGGCGGCGACCCAGGGCGGCCTCAGCCTGAGCCTCAGTCCGGGCGCCAGCGGCAGCAGCGGCAGCGATGGAGACAGCATGCCCGTGTCCCCGCAGCCCGCGCCCCCCTCGCCGCCTGCGGCGCCTTGCCTGCCGCCCCTGGCCCACCATCCGCACCTCCCCCCACATCCCCCGCCCCCGCCGCCTCAGCATCTCGGGGCGCCTGCTCACCAGCCGCAGCCAGCGGCCCAGCTGCACCGCACCACCAACTTTTTCATCGACAACATCCTGAGGCCGGACTTCGGCTGCAAAAAGGAGCAGCCGCCACCGCAGCTTCTGGTGGCTGCGGCGGCCAGAGGAGGCGCAGGAGGAGGAGGCCGGGTCGAGCGTGACAGAGGCCAGACTGGCGCAGGTAGAGACCCTGTCCACCCGTTGGGCACCCGGGCGCCAGGCGCTGCCTCGCTCCTGTGCGCCCCGGACGCGAACTGTGGCCCACCCGACGGCTCCCAGCCAGCCGCCGCCGGCGCAGGCGCGTCTAAAGCTGGAAACCCGGCTGCGGCAGCGGCGGCAGCGGCGGCCGCGGCGGCCGTGGCAGCTGCGGCCGCGGCGGCCGCAGCAGCCAAGCCCTCGGACAGCGGTGGCGGTGGCAGTGGAGGCGGCTCGGGGAGCCCCGGCGCGCAGGGCACCAAATACCCGGAGCACGGCAACCCCGCCATCCTACTTATGGGCTCAGCCAACGGCGGGCCGGTAGTCAAAACTGACTCGCAGCAGCCTCTCGTATGGCCCGCCTGGGTCTACTGCACGCGTTATTCGGATCGTCCATCCTCCGGTGAGTACCCAACTCCGGGCTGCGCATTGCCTTCTGGCGCCGCGGACCGCCCTAGAACTCCAAGCTGCGGCGCTAGGGAGAGCAAACCCGGCCTCAGGCACTCCTGTCTCTCACGCCTGCTTCCTCACCCGGTTCCAGCCACAACCGAATGTTCTCTCAGCTCTGCGATCCTGGCCTCTGAGGCCACCACCCGAGAAGCTACAGCTCGTGGCACAGGAGGCTCGAGTCGATTCTTTGGTTTTGAACTCTGAACCCCTGGGGCCTTCTTTGTCTTTTAGCTTTATTATTCTTAGGAAAGGTACCCAGTCAGTGTTTTTCTTTCCGGGGAGACCGGTGTTTAGATATGGCGGGAAGGTGGGCCTAGAGATGTGTGTCTGAAATCCCACCAGCCTGATCGATCGTCCGGAGGCCAGATTGGACCAGAGAAGGCCTTGTCCAGAAAAATTATCTTCACTGTGTGTCCTTACGAACACAAACATAATCTCGATATTTTCTGCGATTAATCATTTACATTGATAAATATGGGGACACACAGGAAGACAGAGAGGAAAGCGTCTGAACGCCGTCCCTATCCCTGTCCCTATCCCTGGGCCGGGTAGCGAAGTCTATCCCGGGTGGGTAGAATCCAGGGAAAGGCAGTTGCCAAAAAGGTGGGTGCTGGCAGCCCCTGGTTTTCTGGAGCTGACAGACAGTGGGAGAGGAGAGAAAACAGGTCAGGCTCAAGCCAGAAAACTGGGCCAAGGGCTTGAGAGCCAGCTTCCTCCGTAGCTTCTCCGCGGCTCGGCTCCCACATCCTCCCGGCCCGGCGCTTTCCTTTTTTCACTCCTTTCTTCCGCACATCCAACAGTTAGCAGCTTTCTGGCATCCGTGGGCCCGTTTTTCCTGGCTTTCCTTCCACCCCTTTTCCGCGTGCCCCTCGCGCTTGGCGAACCCGAGTCGGAGACCTCCTTTGGGCCCTGGGAGAGTAGGCCGAGGCCTACCCGACGCCCCGGCCCGGCCAGCAGTGTCTGGCAGAGCGGCAGAAGCTTTGGCCCAAGATCAGCACTCCAGGCTCCCGGTGCGGCAGGGGGCCGGGAGCAACGTACCCACGCGCGCCGCTTTCCTCTCGCTGGTCTCTTGCCTGCCCACCGCTACCGGCCGGGCGCGGATCGATGCGCACTATCAGCCCCCGCCATCTCGAGCCCCGTTATTGACACGTCGGGCTCCCTGAACCTCCGAAAAGCTACTTTGATTGACTCGCCTGATGGATAGAGTGATTGAGCTGTCAGGCTGCACGGCTCGGGCTGGCCGGGAGACTACGATTTTATTACAAGAGTCCGTGCCTCTGCACACACATACAACAACACTTCAACATGTCCCGGACGCTCAACGCGCAGCGGGGCCTTTTTGGGGATGTACGGATTTCCTTGGCTATTTCTGCCAGCTCAGCTAATTATGAATCCAAACCCCAGTTCTGCTCTAAAGAGGGCCTTGGCTTTGTTCTTGGCCACTTTCCTTCTTATGGGCCTGGGTAGGTAGGGAGGGGACCGGCTCCTTCTCCGGCTTGGGCAGTTGGGGGAGAAGGGGATGAGCCGCGACCCAGATTTGAGTCGTTGTAGTATGCTAGGCCTGGACTCTTTGTCATAGGACAGCTGGTTACCCAGGCTCCTGCCTGCCCCAGGAGCCAGCTGCCCAGATGCCGGAGGTTTCAGCATGTTCGGAGATGCGGGCAAAGATCTTCCTTTTTAGACGGTTTTAGAGATGAACAGGCCTGACAGGGACTTAACTTGGTTCAGTAAGCTACCCTAACCAAGGCAGGACTCAGAAAGTAAATGCCAGAAGACTTGGGTGTGGAAGCCGATGGGCAGAGGTGTAGGCTTTTGAGGCACACACCAACAGTTCAATCCTCTCCTGGTTTTCTCGCTTTCCCTCCTTCCTTTCTCAGGGGTTGGGCCCTCCTCCCAAACTAGTATTTGAGGAGAACTTCACCTTCTTAAGGGGGTTTCCTGTGTCCCCTTCCCATTCCTATCTTGGGGTCAAAGCACAATTTTTTTTTTCTAGGTCGTCCCTGTCTCCCTCCCTCTGCTTCTTTTTGCTTGTAGATGGGAGAAGGGGGTGCGGTCTCCTTGCAAATGTCATCAGTGGGCAGAGAAAGCCAATCTGGCTTGTTTTTGTTATTCAGTTTTCAGTCCTGAAATTGCAGCAGGTCAAAAGAGAGATGAGGAATACCCAGATGAGGGAGACCCTGCCCCTCTCAGCCTGATGGAGGAATGGGGGAGGCCCTGTCTTATTGGCACCATCCAAGGGGCAAGGCTGAAAACCCAGGGGCCAGGGTCATGGGGGTCGGTGAGGGCCTTTTCCTCTACTTCAGAGAAGGGGTGGTCTCTGCATCCCTGAAACCCTAGAAAAGGCTTCCTTTAGGCCAAAGAGAAAGAAGCTGTGGAGGTGTGTGTGGGAAGGTGGAGCGGGAGGCAGACACCCAATACTTCTCCCAGCCTCTTCCCTATCCGGTTGTTTTCTGGGGTCAATAGCTACAAGCAGATGAGGTCTTATTGTAGGTGCTCCTGTAGGTACACTTCTTGAGGAGGAGAGGAGGATTAGTTTAAAGGCTGGTGACTCCCCCAGGGCCTGCTCTCACTGTCCCAGTCCTTTCTATTTCAGGGCTGTGAGGACAGCAGGCCCCTGACCCCCAGCTCTGGGCTGGGCCAGATGAGCTCCAGATATCCCTCCATCTTGGATTACTGCCTTCTTGGCCCGGGAAATGTGATTTCGGTCTGTCCCTGACTGTCCTGTGAGAACTGGGGTGTGAGATGCACCTACAACCTCAACCAGTTTTCCTCCACTGCTCCTTTGCCCTCCCAAAGGGAACCCGGCCTGGCGAGGGGCCCCTCCATGGAGGGATTAGCCGGCGGGAGGGAGCCAGGGGTTCTGCAGGGCTTCCAAGATCGTTCTGGAAGCGCGGGGCTGGAGGCCCAGCTCGGCAAGGCAATTCTCAAGGCTTCCTTTGCCCTCTCCCCCCTCCCTTCTGCCCTCCGTCCCCACCCCTACCCCCACCCCGGCCCTCTCCGCCGCTGCAGGTCCGCGCACCAGGAAGCTGAAGAAGAAGAAGAACGAGAAGGAGGACAAACGGCCGCGGACGGCGTTCACGGCCGAGCAGCTGCAGAGACTCAAGGCTGAGTTCCAGGCAAACCGCTACATCACTGAGCAGCGGCGGCAGACCCTGGCCCAGGAGCTCAGCCTCAACGAGTCCCAGATCAAGATCTGGTTCCAGAACAAGCGCGCCAAGATCAAGAAAGCCACAGGCATTAAGAACGGCTTGGCGCTTCACCTCATGGCCCAGGGACTGTACAACCACTCCACCACCACGGTCCAGGACAAAGACGAGAGCGAGTAGCCGCCGCCGGCAGGGGCCGCGCGGTCCGGCCGCCGCGCCCGCGCCCCCTCCCGGCACTGCCGCCGCCACCACTCGGCCCCTCGCTGGGGGAGAAGGCATCTGCTCAAAGGAGGGAGGGAGCGGAGGGAAAAGAGCGAGAGAGACAGAAAGAGAGCCTCTGAATGGACAGTGACGTTGAAACACAGCATTTTTGAAAAGGGAGAAAGACTCGGACAGGTGCTATCGAAAAATAAGATCTATTCTCTATTCACAGTATAAGGGACGAAACTGCGAACTCCTTAAAGCTCTATCTAGCCAAACCGCTTACGACCTTGTATATATTTAATTTCAGGTAAGGAAAACACATACGTGTAGCGATCTCTATTTGCTGGACATTTTTATTAATCTTTATTATTATTGTTATAATTATTATAATTATTATAATTATTTTATCCCCTCCCCCTCCGCCTCGCTGCCCCCGGCCCAGTTTCGTTTTCGTTGCCTTTTTCATTTGAATGTCACTGCTTCTCCGGTGCCTCACGACCCGCATCGCTGGCCCTGGTTTCTCTGGGACTTTTCTTTGTGTGCGTGAGTTTGTTTCCTCGCGTGTCTGCCCACCGCCTCTCCCCCACCTCCCGGGCCTTTTCTGTCTGTCTGTCTGTCTGTCTGTTCTGCCCCCCTTTCGTTTTCCGGAGACTTGTTTAGAAACACGACCCCACAGACTGCGAGACTGAACCGCCGCTACAAGCCAAAGATTTTATTATGTTCAGAAATCTGTAGTCTGAAATAAAGTGTACACTGTGCTCACGAGCGCTGGCGACCGTCCTGTTTGCTGGCTAGGGAAGGGCGTGGGTCCGGGCACACAGTGCCCCAGCGCCCCTGCGCACCCCGGGCCGGGAGCCGGCCAGGCCTTGCCATCACCGCACAACGAATGCAGGGGCGAAAGGGAAGTGCGGTGGTGGACGGCCCAGAATCGGGTTTGGACTGGGACTGAAGGGTCTGGCGGGACACTCCTGGTCTCCGATTGCGTTCAAGGGAACTCAAAGGCCGGCAACCCCAGTCCTGGCTTCCGAAACACCGCCTGGGCTGCCGGGATGCTCCCAGACCGGGTCCAGGCCCAGTCCAGCGGCGGCCTACTCTTGTACAACCTGCTCCTCACTCCAGCCTGCACCTTTCTTTTCGTTTTCTTTCTTTCGTTTATTTTGCCCCTGATGCAGGATTTGCTGCAGATTTTTTTTTTTTATCCAGAGGTAGAAGGCCTCCTCGGGCGGGAGCAGACCCGGAGGCCTCCCTCTCTCCCTCCCACCCCCCACAGCAGCCTGTTTGGGCGAAGGTTGCTTTGACCTGGCCTCTTCAGTCTGGACTCACTGCTTTTCCTTTGGGGAAGCGCTTCTGTTGGGGAAGCGCTTCTGTTGGCGAAGCATAGGTCTGGAGGCGGCACGAGGAGGCTTGCAGGGCTTGGATCTCCTGATCCCGCAAAGCTGGAGAAGAGGCCCAAATGCTGGGAAGCTGTGTGGAGTGGCTGCTTGGGCCTTGAACCCGAGATGGGTGCCGGCCTGCCGTGTCTGGACCCTAAACCAAGCAGGGTTCCCTTAGGCATCCCCGCAAAGCCTTAGTTTCTTCTTCACCAAAGGGGGCGCACGCAGAAACCCCCAGGGCCCTCAGGACACCCTGGGTTCCCAGAAGGAAAAGTCTGGCCTGTCGCTGCTAACACTGGGGCCCATCCTTCCAGGTCAGGAGCTGGTCTCAGAGATTAAAAGGTGAGGAAGGGGAGGTTTCTTCTCAGGAAGTATTCTCTCCCCTTTGTCCAGGATTTTTTAAAATTGTACATTCCACTTCCACCTTTTTTTTTCTCTCTTCTGCAATATGTATGTATATACCTTTACTTGTGTGGCTAGATGAGCACATGCCCACACATACTTGTATGCATATATGGTAATGTGCAGATATGTGCAGATATTGGTGCACCTAAGTTCCTACCAGTTTTTTGTATATTCCTGTACCTGTGAGTATTGTACAACTGATTTTCTTCTCTAACTAGATGCACAATTGGACGTTTGTGAGTTCACTGTGTGTACATGTACGAATTTGTGTTTGCACACTGGAATGTCTGCAGGTGTGTTTGCTGGGTTTGTGCATGTGTGAGAACCCTGTTCTCTGTTCTTTTCCCTTGAGTTTCTTATCTGTTTTTGCAGAATTGATTTTGTGTGAAATGAGAATGGCTAGCTATTCCATCTTTTTTCTTGAAAGATTTCCCCTGATTTGGCCTAATGTCCTGTTTACTCCTGGTCGGGGAACTAACGGAGCCAGATTTCAAGCCCAGGAAGCCTAGGGCCCCTCAAAATCCCCACTTAAGGGTTTGGGGGCTCAGTGGCCTGGAATGGAATTGGAGGGTGCCTTTGACACTGCCCTAGGTTCCCAACTTTGTTGCAATTAAGTTCCTTCCTTCCATCTGCCCATTGTTTTCTGGAGGCGTGTCAAGAACTCTTGCACATAATAGGTGCTCAACCAATCTGTATGCAGAGTTAGAAGCAGTGAGATGGGCCATCCCTGGGGTTGGTCCAGGGGAGTTGTTTTCTGGTAGTCAAAAGCATGTGTTTTGCTTTCCTTGGGGAGTGGGCTTAGAATGTTTAAGCCTTCCAGACTTTTCTGGAAGAGTCTGAAGCCTGGGTCTCAGGGCACCCCTCCCCTAATACAGAACTCTCAGAACTTCAGGAAGAGTCTCATTCCATCTCACCCTCCCAGCACATCCAGATGTGACCTTAAGGATGCTCAACTATATATAGAGAGAACCTTACTACTTTGAATGTCTGGGAATTGAGCTGTACTCCCTTCTCTCCTCCCTATTGTGGATCCTTAGGATATGAAGTCCCCCAAGACCACCAGGTTCAGAGGCTGGGATAGAGGCCAGTGTGAGCAGCAGCTCCAGGAACCACCTCATTCCTCATGCTCCCCTTCTTCTTCCAAGAGGTCAGAACCAAGAGCTCTTTCCTTTAAACCATTAAGGGAGAGAAAAGGTGGTCACCCTCTCCCATGATTGCCTTAGTAAAGGGTAGAGATGTGAGTGTCATTATTATGTAATTTGATTTCTTGCCCATTATCTCCTTTTATCTTCCAATCACTATGGGCAAATAGATTTTTCTTCATTGTACAGTGAAAGAACATGAAGCTCTGAGAACTTAAACATTTTGTTTGTGTCTCCTCCATGACTATGTTTGTCTAAGTTGAACCTACCTCAAGGACCTGGCCAAGGCCCTGAAGCCATTACCCAGGACAACTTTCCCATCTTCTCTCTATTTTTCCTTCTTTCTGATTGGAGTAGAGGAGAGGGGAGGAGGACTCTGGCTGGAACTTTTTCTTGCACGCCCTCTAAAAAAAAGAACTAATAATGATCATAAATGGACATTGATTTCTCTGATTTATGGGGCTGGCTTAGTGAGCCGCCTGTGTATTAAAGTCTGGGGCTGCAGCGAAATAAATACTTGAGCACGCCATCCCAACTTCCTCATTTTCTGCTTTTCCTTTTTTTTAAAGATTGGATTGAACCATAAACTTAAATCTTTCTCAGCCTGAAAGGAAATACATACTAGCTGAGTCTAAACAGTATTGATCCCTGGCTCTTTCTGAGGGCAAAGGTCTCTGTTTTCTTTTGGAAACTCCCTTTCCTTCAGTAGGGTCAGTGAGAAGAGAAGGCGGTGGGTGGATGAGGCTGAGAGAAGGCAGGAGGAAAGTAGAGGGAGAGGGTGTGGTGGTATTTGGGAGTGTGGGGCTGCTTGGTGTGATTGTGTGTGCTTATATGTTCGTGGGTTGTATTATATGTGGGCATTTATATAGGGATAGTACTGAGTATTTAGGCTTGGGAGGTGGAAGTGTGTGCTCTGGGTGTTTGGCCCCACTGGTGATTGTTTGGTGTCTGTGAGTGAGTGTATGTGTACACAGTTCTTAAGCCCCCTAGATGGGCTGCCCGGGGAAGAGGAGTGGCCTGCTAGCCTGCACCCTCCCAGGTCCCCACACTTATCTGTCACCTGTGGCAGGATTTCCAGAGATAATACCATGGGGGAGGCTGCTGTGCCCCAGTACACCCCCAACCCCCCCACACACACTCAGTAAAAAAAAAAAAAAAAAAATGCCCCAAAAAAGGCCAAGCTACAAGGGCAGGAGTGAGCTTTGGCTGACTCCTAGAGGTCCAGGAGGTACAGGCCAGACCTAGACTCTGCACCCCTGATGAATTATGCCACAGCTTCTGTGGGGTGGCCATCAATTCCTTCCATGGTCAGCCTGGTTTTTCCTTTGTGTGAATGAGAGAGGCCATTCTTCTAGCTATCTAGCCAACCCACTATCCTTTGCTTCCACCACACAGGGGAGGAGGGGGGCAAAGAAGGGCAGGGAGGCATCCAAGTGTCCTTCCCAGCTTCACCTCAGAGCCTGGACCCTTTTAGTCCAGATGTCACAGTGGGCTCAAATGGAAGACTGTGTTCATCCCTGTCTGTGGGAGGTGACAGAGTTCATCTCTCCTCACTCCCACTCCTCACTCCACTACCATCTCTGACTTTGAACTCTGGGGAGAGGGTTACTCTTCTGTGGCAATGTGTGGAAAGGGGAAGAGCTAGGCACTCTGCCAGCCTCCACCCCTCCCCAAATGCTTTAGGTCAGTCTTTTAATGCAGTATTAGTGTTGGAAGGGTTCTCAGGGATTCTTGAATTAAAAAGTCCTGAGAGAGAAAGTGTCCCAAGAGAAAGTACAAGGTGAATGAGAGGCAAAACCTTCAGATTTCCTATCAGTCCAGGCCTCTTCTCACTGTGCCATCAAGTGGGTAATGTCAACACATGTGCAGGCACAATGCACACATGTACACACTTCCACACATAAAAGTGCATAACATGCGCACACCCATGTGGCAAGTATGCACACATGCAAAACATAGGCATGTATACAAATGTCAATGGACCAATATACGGTGTATTCACAGCAAGCATATGGACCTTGTCTGTGTAGAAGTTTCTGGCACACAACTATACATGAGCCAGGAGTACACATACTGGTGTCCAAGACACACCTGCATGCCCCAGCTGGTGGGCTTCACTTCTAGCCAGGAGAGGGAAAGGACATTGTTTCCAGGACTCAGGACAGGCCTGTGTGCCCTCTCTTTTCCATGGAAGCCACCAGGAGGAGAGGCCGTCCCTTCCCTCTCAACTGGAGGCAACTGGTCCAGTCCAGGTGCCTGGGCTCAGACACAGACCCAATGCTACAACCCACTCCCCCAAGTAAGTACATCTAGTCCCCTCCCAGGTGGAGCTCTTGGGCTGGAGCAGGCCCAGGGCAAGAGGGGCAAACATCCCAAACAGATTTCTCAGAGGCCTGGCAAGTCATGGCCCATTACAATTTGCTCCTTGAGTTTGCTTCAAATACAGTCTTTCCCAGATGGGTGCCACTCTGGAGATGGAGTAGGCCCCTGCACTCTGGAATCTCCCCACAGGTATAGGGGTGGGGTGTTTAGAGGACATTTGGAAAGATTTCAGGCTGTAGTAATGGAACACTCTAGGTATGCGTGACCTTATAGAAAAGCAGAAATTTATTGTGTGTGTGCAGGCACACACATCTTGAGAGGATTCCTATCAACAGCTCATGACTCTGCTTTAGGCAGGCAGGTGGGTGGGAGTACTGGGAGGAGGCAGGGGATTATAGAGAAGACTAGTGAGACTGTTGAGGAGTGGGGTATAAAGCCAGGCACAAGTTAGACACTGTCAACCAGCACCAGACTCCCCTCTGCTTCCTGCCTCCACACAAGCACACGGCTGGAAGAACACTCC